CATGCGAAGCTGAGTGATTGAGTGAGTGAATGAGGTTGAAAGCGGCAAAAATGTACAACACTGTTAACAGATGGGTGTGGATTATGCTCTCCTTCCTTATTTTCTGCTCTGAGAATGAAGTTTTACACATCACTTGGATCAGACCGCGGGCTGAGATGTAGTCCGTGACGTCTGAATCCTTACCCCACCAGGCTGGAATTGGCACAGACAGTCTGCAAACATGAATCAATTCACGCCTTCCATGCCATTGTTTTGGGCTTTTTGCACCTCTTTGACCAGAAATTCCAGACCGCGGGCTGAAGTTAGGCTGACGGTCTGAATGGTTTTTGAGTAAATCAGCCCGCGGGCTGGGATTCTACACCTGTAGTCTAGTGCCTTTAGACCGAAGGTCCTGTAATTAAAACTTGCGGGCTAGTTGTTAGGCCTGACGGGCTGTTAGGAAAGACCACCGGTCTGCATGTATTTATTATTAATGATATCTTAAGTTATGAACACTGCAGAACAATAATTTTCATATCACTGTGCTCATTACACCAAGAGCTACACACTGATGTGAAACTTGAATGTTGAAAATCAATTTTTACTTGAGTTTCCAAATGCCTTGTGACTTTCCAAAATTGATGCGACCAGTGTTTAATTGCAAAAAATAAATAAATAAGTAACAGTAACAAAACAGGTCATCGTGTCATTAGAGCCATAATCGTTCCGTACAGGTCAGTCACCGTGACTTCTAATCTAAGATGTGGAACAGCAAACATTTAAGTACACAAATAATGATAAGAATTAATTTTTTAAAATACTGCCAAGAAAATTTTGTCTATGTTGATCGGGTAATCGCTTTCTTGATCTAGTCACTGACAATATTTATATTCCTTACAGGGTACGTGGAAATCTTGATGGAGAGTGTGAAGGAGATCTGCAGGGGACAAGAGTACAACGGTGACATGCTGGAGGAGTTGGAGTTTCCTGAACCTGGACCAGTACCCCAACCACTGACTGCCCAGTTCGAGAAGCCCGCCAAGG